TGAATCGTGTTTCAGTGACTGGCAGTGTGACTTCACCCGCAAAACAACACATACATATGACTACTTAAGTTTATACCACTACACCAACACAGTCATGACACTAAATCAGTGTGAAGAACATTCTGTAAACAGGCAAACGCTACATGACACTGATCTGGATTGTGACATTGTTTAATATACTAAGTGAGATCCATTATAACAGTCTGTCAATGGAGGTTCTGCCCTGCTGCTCAGAGGTGAGTTTCACAACATCATGTTTTTACAGCTTAATGCTCTGCAGATGCTGTCACTGCACTGCATGAAAGAGCATTGGACACTTACTTGGGCCCTATGAACATATCCATTAACACGACACTGCTATGAGTCAGTCTGTGATCACACCATTTTAGGGGCTAAAGAGGTATTTTTCATTTAATAAAGCTTCGTAGCCATTGCTGCTGTTGATGTCTTCCTCTGAGATGTGTAATTGTTCCTTTTTGCTTGCTTAGATAAGCACTCTTGTTGGAGAGTGATTATTTTTTCCCATTTGCTTGTCCTAAAGGAAATAGTACTTGTGAGCCAGCAAAATGAATAGGGTTAGAATTTTAGTGAAATTATCAAGAAAAGGAGAAAAAAGGGAAGCGCAACAGACCCAGTTGACATCACACATGAAAGAAAAATCACAAAACAGATAGCCTATCTTTGATATGAATTTTTCTTTTTTTTTTTTGTCCTGGTCAGCAGTGAGAGCAAATTGAGACTGGCTTAACCCCATACATCTCACATCTGTCTCCATCTAGTCTTGAGAACTCACAATTGTCACACATTGCGCTCAAAGTTTGCAACCAAACCAAAACATTGTCATTAAAATTAGCTCAAGATGATCTTATGTCAACAACTGTTTCATTTTTGTTTTTCTCCTAAAAGGTTTTAGGGGAACATCTGAGTCAAAGTTTAATTAAAGCTGCAGTCCGTAACTTTTGGCGCTCTAGCGGTTAATAAACAGGTACTGGGCTACTCCGCAGCAGTACCTACCCGAACCAGTCTAAATAGTCCGAATATAAACACTTATTATAGATGTACCGTAGTGATTCAGGACAAGCCAAAAACACGGTTTGGAAAATGGATTCATGGTGTACTCGCTTATTATATACATTTTGTAAATTTTGAACACAAAGAAGTTACAGACTGCAGCTTTAAGCAATATGAAAACTACGAATGATTCAATGATTCATTCGTTTTTGAACGAATCGACGTATTGATCGATCCAGCGCGATCACGACTGGTTTTTTTTTTCACAAAACAATTCAATAAACAAGAAATTAAAGTTGAGTAACTTACATTTTAGACACAATATTTGCAAGGTTGACAGTACTTTGTCTTCTTTGCTCAGCTAACACGAAAATATAGGCCTATCCAAAAAAAATGAAGATATATTAGAATTTCCATTGAGTTTCAGAATAAATCAGCATCTTTGAATGAATCAGTTGAATAAACGATTTAAAATAACAGCCTCTTGTCGCCACCTATTGTAGTATTGGGCTGACAGTTGGTCTGGAACGCGGAACGATACAAAGAGTGAAAAGTCCTAGTGCTGTTGAACTGTAGCTACTAATATAGGCTAAACGCTCTTAAAATGCTAATTCAAACATCGAAACTAACTGATAACACTTAAATGAAACTCAAACTCCAAGTCCTTATAAAATTTTAAACTTCTGTTTATAACTAATAAAATGTCGAGATGGTTTTTTTGTACATTACCGCATTCCTTTGCTCTTAGAGGACTGGGTGCAAATTGCAATGAAGTCAACGCAGAGGGATGCTGACTGTTATAATTGCCTTCACTGTGGGAATGTTGGTTGTGCTCATTCCTGAGAGTCAGCTCTGAGCCCCCCTGTGCTTTCCAGTCTCTGTTACTGTGAATCCAGACACCTCCTCCAGCCTGCAATGCAAGGAGATACTGTAGCCTACAAACAAGTCAGTGACATACAATGTCAGGAGAGCTGCTGGATTGTGTCTCCTTGAGAGCGTGAGGAGAAATTCTCTCTGTTAGCTTATGCTACATGCATGTGTGACACATCGTCCCATCAAATGCTGCTCCATCTCTGCCCTGAGAATAAAACACAAGCTAAAAAAAATAAGACATTCACATTTCTCAGAGAGATCTGTATTTCACTTCCATTTTTCATTGAAAATGCTTATTCACGATTCATTTGCATTATCAGAGTTCTCTGATATTTTTAAAAAACTGATTTGTTTTCTTTTCTATAAATGTCAAAAAATAATACACAGGTAAAAAATATAACTATTTTAATTTAAATCAATATAATTTCTATGTATTAGTGAGTATTCTTGTCTTGTTTTCCTATAAAAAATGTTTTTCAGAAAAAGTTTACAGGTTTTTACATGATGTTGCTGTTTTTTTAAACATAAACCTCACTAAATGTTGGTCAATTAAAACAAAAGGCTATAAGTCTTAATATACTATGCAGTTTTTCTTCTCAAGTAAATTCCTCTTTATTTAAAAGATATTTAGATATTTTGTGACAGTTTAGAAAAGTAAATATGATTCAAATAATCATCTCATTTTAATTTTTTACCATCTGCTATCAACTTCAACAATAAATCTGCAATTTAAAAATGACAAATGGCAGAAAGTTAAGAATATAGCAAGCCTCATTATCAACCATTAATTACAATGTGCGACAGAGCAAATTATACACAGGATATGTGGACATTCCTGTCTCTGCAACACAGTCCAAGGATCAGAGTGCTTTTGACAGCACCTGGAGAGAAAGGAGAGCGAGGCAGGAGGAGACATGGACATCTTACTTAATTTGACAGCATGAGTCAGCAGCTCATTTAGAGGAGCTCTCAAGCCAAAAATAAATAAAAAATGGAGCAAGATTCTGTTGTGACTTTGTCAAAAGAGTCCTATGCCATGGAAAACAGGAAATGAGCAGTTCGGAGAAGTATCGTTCATTCTTACCAGCTCATCTGTGCCTATTACAGCAAAATCTACAAGGCCAGCAACATTGGTCGAGTCCTTGCCTCTCCAGCTCTGTAACATGCTGACAGTTGCGGCGAAATGCGATTCAAGGTTAAAGAGACATTTATCAAAACACCCAAGCAAGACACTTTCAAAGAACAAGGACGTTACAATCATTAATTGAGATGCAGGGGCTGAGAGAAATAATTAAGCCTGGAGCCAAAGTCAGAATCATTTCTATCTGGTGATTAAAACGATTCCCTAATAAAAGCCAAAGAGGGTGAGGCTTATCAGAGAGACGACCTGCGGTAAAAACTATCGCCCACCACTCTTTACAAATCCTTAAAGGGGTCATATGATGCGATTTCAAGTTTTCCGTGGCTTGTGTACTGCAAACACATACCAGCTTCATCACTGTGTCTGTCACCGGACTCTGTTCCCCTTTCGGGCTCTGTCTTTACATTTATTTTGAAAGATGAAGCTCGCGATTATGGTATTATGGTATGATTTCTGATGAGTGCTTGCGGTGTTCGGCCAATCACAATACACTGGGTCAGCTGGCCAATCAGAGCAGACTGCACTTGTCGGAAGGAGGGACTTTGTAGAAAACGAAGCGTTTGAGAGAGGTGGGGCACAGAGGACCTACAATAATGTACAGTATTTGAAAAATAATATGTTTTTTGAACATTAAAGCATGTCAACATATTCTGTTACACCAAATACACAAAATAATGATCTTTAAAAAGGCATCATATGACCCCTTTAACATGACCCTCCAACAGTTTAGACTCATTGTGCTTTTAGTAAGAGCTATTGCAAATAGCAAAGTAATGATTCTGATGCCCAAATTTGCTAATATCAGTGCGTAAAAATGCACTACATAGGTCATACATTAAAGACCCCATGATATTGTTTGGTGAATGGGTGGGTAGCCGTGTTTCACAGTTGCATGCCAAATATTTTTAAATATTTAGAAATGTGTAGACAAAAACGCTGTTATGGAGTGAGTCGCACTGGAGATGCTAATCACTTAACAATTCTCCATTTGCATGATTTGAAGTGATTAGAGTGCAATTGACTGGAATTATGGTGGACAAATGTGATAATAAATGCTAATAGGAGCTGTGAAAACCCAATACTAAGCAGATTGTTACAAGAAATTGGTCCTTAGGCATTCAGTATAACTGTGAGGGCTGCTCAGATTTGCATGTTAACTCTATAAGGCCAAGTGTATCATATTTAATATGCAAATTTCTAAGTGTTCTAAATGATGAAAATGATCAAAACTTTGATGTAAAACCTGTTGTACACAACCTACAACATGCCTTCTGTCGTCTGATTGAGAGTAACCTCCAACCTCCTGACAACTGATATTTAACATGCATTTTATGTAAGCAGTCTGCTATACTGTTATAAACATCTCATTGATTATATTGCAAGCTACCAGAATTTAAATTTTGGCCATATTAATATTAGCAACTGCACCAAATTGCATATTTTTGCTCAAGTTTGGCCTCTGAGATTTTTTTCCTCCTCAAGTATGCGCTCCATATTCTCATTATATCACACTTAACAAAAAACACATATGGAAACTTTATTTTGATTTTCTTTTAGATTTTGTCTAAAGGTTTAATAACCTGCTCCATTAAAAAAATCTGACAATCATTTAATATATCATGC